AGTATGCGCGACCTAGAATTAAAATCAAACCTTTCGCAAAAAACTGGGTCGATCGAGAGAGATCGCTTGAGATCTCGAGAGAGAGATGAAATATTACAATTTTTTTTGTTGAAAATTGACTCTTTCAACCCATCGCATTTCATCTTCAAGCAATGACAACTGTGCAGCGGAAATCTGATAGATACAATCAACCGGGCTGACAAAAACAAAGGAGAGAATAAGTTCTCTGAAACTGCCTACATAGAACTTCCTGAAATAAATCCCATAATCACTTGCAGCATCAACATAATACAATCCTACCATGTTTCAACTGCTTGTTGAACTAAATCTGGGTTTCCACGCTGGTTACATGCTCTTGCTCTTCCAAAGTCTTCTTCAATTTTAAATATATGTGGAGCCACATTGGCACAATTTTTGCAGCCTGTTAAAACAGCAAACGTAGTTGTAGTCACTTTCCATATAATCAGCGTTGCGCTTTCAAATTATCGCTACCAAAATTTTGCACTCGGCCTCAAATGAATAGCATGTACCGAATTTCAAGACATACCTATACAAGCAAACTCATCAACGAAAACATTATCCTTTGGGCTGGAATCATCGAGAAAAGGATTGATAGCAGTCACTAAATACCCATGAATTTCATCGTAAACCATACGCTGTACAGGATCACTGAGAATCTGCAATACAACGATAAAATCGGTAAACCAAAATAGCCACATGAAACCTTACTAAAACCTTACAAAATGTATTCAAAGTCCAAGTAAAAAAAGAAAACTCACTGAATAGATATCGTTTATGAACATGCAGAAATTTGTAGTTGCAGGGTCATTGCCACTCAAATCTGGATGGCAAGATTTCATACAGTTATAGTATGCTTTCTTAATCTCTTCCTGAGTCGCATCTGGAAGCTATTGAACATAACACACACAACACAAGGAGATAGATATAAGTCACAATCTCAGGATCCTAATGCAACTTAGGGATTCACAATTTCAACAAAGATGTATATATGTAGCTTCAAAATCGAATTAAATCATCACTTCGAAATCCCTAATGCGATGATCAAATCGGATTGGAATTAGATTTGGTTCCTAAATCGGCGGAAATTACCAATCCGAGAACGGAATAGTAATCATCGGTGACATCGCCGGTGGAAAGAGAAGCAGCATCCTTAGTCGCGACTCTCAATCTTCCGATTGCGCCGTTTCGTCTGTTTCCGGCGTAAGCAGGTAAGCACCAAGACGAAGCACCGCTTGACTTCGCCGAGAATCGCGACGCACCTGATCTAGAGCTAGGAGACGAGTTATGAAACTTCAAAAGATCTGTACAAACAGGACAAAGTAGCTGCGCCATTGAAGGAACCTCAAAAAAGCTCCGATTCCGATCACTACGATGAAATTCTCTCTCTCGAAGAAGGAGGGTGCGCGACCCAG